AGAAAAATACAGTATTTTCTTTTCTGTAGTTCCTCTTCTTTTTTAAATGCTGTGACCCATTAACCCATTAATTTCAAGAACCTCCTATCTCCAGTTTTAAAAACACTGCTCTAAATTAACCTGTCTCTATTAGAAAAGCAGTGAAGGACTCAAAAGTAACTAGTTAGAGAAATTTCTCAAGGAGAAGAATGGAGTTTACTTAAAACATTTGCCATACATAAAATACAGTAGTCCACCCATAATCTGCAGTTTTATTTTCTGTGGTTTCAACTACCTGCTGTCATCCAAAGGATAAAAATGTTAAATGAGTAGCATCCTGAAATCTCATGCTGTCTCACCCCGCCCCCTTCACAGGAATCATCCTTTGTCCAGCATATCCACACTGTGTATGCTATATGCCCATCAGTTAATGTGAATTTCTTACTGTGCCTAATTTATAAATTAAACTTTATCATAAGTCTGTATGTATAGGGCAAAAACATATATAGGATTTAGTACTATCCATGGTTTCAGGCATCCACTGGGGTCTTGGAACATATTCCCCATGGATAAGAAGGGACTACTGTATATGAAAGAAAAAAAAATTGCCATCCAGTCGATTCCAATTCGTAGCAATCCTGTTGAACAAATTAGAATTCCCTTTGGGATTTCCAAGGTGCTTAACCTTTCCAGAAGCCAACTGCCACGTTTCTCCCAAAGAACAGCTGGTGGGTTTGAACCAGGTTCTCAGCTGAGCACTTAACCACTATACCATCAGGGCTCCATAAATAAAGTACAGTAGGATAAAATTTGTAAAATACATTTTATATCATGTCTTAATGTACTTTAAATCTTTTAGTATGCATCAGGCTAATTAACTATAATTCTTTGCCTATCATTGGGCCCTTTTTTTTAATAAACCTTTTGTCTTTTCTCGTGTATTCAAAATTTAAAAAAAAAAAAATGTATAATTTTGGGATGACCTAGGCTGTTTTGTTAGTCCAGGTTTGCAGTATGTGCTTTGATTGCTCAGAAATTTTCCAGGTTTTTGGAGTCCATATTCAGGCAGCAGCTCTAAACTACATTCCATAAACTATGGAAATGGAACAGAAGGAAGCAATAAGACAAGAGGTTGTACTTGAAGGACGTGAGGAGCTTGATTTAAAATGCTGGTTGCTTCTTCAGGGGCTGAATAAGTGGAGAGAGGTGAGAGGTGAAATTAAGGTTCAGAAAGCTAGGATAGAACTTTCAGGTACTTTCACTTTGATATGAGTGTCTGGAAAAGTAATGATGACAAAAAGTCCTTGGCATTGTGATTACAAGTGACTGCAGGCACATGGACTTTGTTAGCCCCTTATTAGTAATGAGAGTTTCATAGTACTTCTCATCTTTTGCCCAAAACTTATGCCACAGAATAAGAAGACTGTTGTGGTAGGAAACCATTTTCCCATCCAAATCACTTAAAAAAGGTCTTCATGGCCAAGCATACTTTTCATTGGATAAAGGCTATGAGTTCTCCTCTTTCCTTCCACAGGACAAGGAGGAGGACTTTAAGACAGTGATTTTGGAGGGATTGGAGATGGCCAAGCATCAGGTGAGGGTGGCTTTTTGATGCTTGTGATATAGCAGCAGATGTTGCAACATCTAAACCAGATATTGAGGCACAAACCCAGGTCTGGATGTCAACAAATACAAGGGAGGTAAATAGGAAGTTTTTTTCAAGTGTAGATCAGGGGAAGTCAAAAAGAGAAAGTTTGCATGGAACATGTCAGATTTCTTGTTTTGTTGAGGGGGAGGTAGAGTTCTAATTAAGAATAGTTAAAAACAGGGAAGCATTCTTCTTAAGAGCTTAGTAAAAAGTCCTTCTCTTAAAGGTACATATTGACAGGAATATTTGCGGGGGGGTAGTTACACCGTAATTCTCTTACATTTGGATACCAGCTATATGTGGATGGTGTAGATGGTTCAAGCTTTTGCTTATTTTTATAAAGCATACATTTATCTCTTGTATACCTGCTTCTTGTTGTTAGTTGCCTTTGGGTTGGTTCTGATTCATGGTAACCCCATGTGTGCAGAGAAGAACTTCATAGGGTTTTCATGGCTGACACCTTTCGGAAGCAGATCACTAAGGCACTGCTGGGTCGATTCAAACTAGCCACCTTTCAGCTAATAGTCCAGCAGTTAACTGTCTGTGCCACCCAGGGATTCTAGTATACCTGCTAATTACCATTTATCTGCAGTTTGATTTAGGGAACTAGAGGTGATGTGGTCAACCTGTGGTGTTCTCAGTACTTGAGTAATGGTAGTCAGGTAGGCAAAAGCCAGCCACAGGACTATTGTTAAAGCCAGTGTTATAGTTAAGAGAAAGAAGACAGTTCAGTATATTTTGTAATCTAGGTCAGAAGTTAAATAATTGCTAAGAAATACATTAATGCTGGTTGTTTACTTTTTTTGGCAATGGATAACCAACCAGGTGATCTTTTCTCGATGTCTCCTAGAGTCTTCTGTTGACTTAAGTCTATTTTCCTTTCTCAAGATTTTACTTTAAAATAAGCAAACCACCCCTGAAAGCATACATAATAAGGGGGATTTTGCATTTGTTTTCTCTACTACGAAATTAGTGATATATTAAAATGTTAGATAAAAACATCTCAGCAACATCTGGTGTTAGAAGGCAAAATTCTCGATTCGACAGATGTAATTCTGCTTCCTTAGTCTCATTTAATGATTCTTTCCTCACTCAGTTCGTCGTATTAATTATCCATACCTGTGATTCTGCCTAAATACCAAAATCTCCAGTTTTCTCGTAATTTTTCTGTAGAGATTGCTGTCTTCAACTGTGTATGTATAATTTAGTTGGCTTCTTAAAATAGCCTCTGAATATGTGTTTATACTTAGTTAAGAGAGCTCTCACATGCATTCTCATTTGACTTCTTCACTGAAAGGTAAAGATTAGATTTTCCCATTTTCTAAATGAGGAGCCTTTACGTGTCTTGCCTAAAAATACCACAAAGTAAATAGCAGTGACAGGACATTAACCCAATTATTGTGACTCCAGGTCCAGTTTTCTCCCAGTGTGCTTTAGTACAGCAAAGGAACAGACAGTTTCTCCCCTGAGATCCTTTCTTCTCCTTGTAGTGCAGAGCCAATAATAATTGTTCACTTTAGACATTGCTGCCATGTTGTGGGAAGTTTAGGCCTTTGGTTAAAAAGGAATTGATTGATTTACTAATGGTGAAATGTATAAAGCCTTGTGTCCCTTTCTAGCTGCTTCTGCAGTCATTTTGTAACCTAGTCTTTGTTACATTAGTGGAAGTCCAGAAACATGGGAGCTTTTTGAGTATATGCAAAGCACAACACAAACTCTCATATTTGATTCTCCCTATGTCTGCCCAAAATCATTTTGGCTAAACTCACCTGTGTAGCCTAGATAGGAAAGATTTATTAATATATTAATATATTAGATCTCTATATAAAACAATTAATAATTGGCACTAAAAGGCCTCAGAAGAAGGGCTTTTCAAGTCTGAAATGAAGACTCAATGTTGTTATTTACATTCATTCTTAGCTCTGATTCTTGATTTTTATATTCCTTCAAGTTTTCCAAAGTACTTCATCATCTGTTTATAACAATTCCATTTCTGTTTTTGCAGAAAAACCCAGAGGAAGACAACTCAGGGAGAACGTTGGGTTGGGAGCCAGGGCACTTGCTGCTCACCACCTGTACTGTGCGCAGCATTGAGCAGCTCCTGCCATTCTTCAATGTGCTCAGTCAAGTCTTCAACAGCAAAGTCACAAGCCGATGTGCAGGACACTCAGGGAGCCCTGTCCTCTACTACAACCCCTTCCCTAATAAGGACATGAAACTGGAGAACCACAAACCATTTTCCAGCAAAGCCAGGCAAAAAATAGAAGAGATGGTAGAGAAGGATTTTCTGGAAGGGGTGATAAAAACTTGAGCACCACAAGTGACTCCATTTAGCTTAAATGTAAATTATTTAAAACAAACACTGCTCTGAATTGTATAGTTTTTGGTTTTTGTATGTAACAACACACACTTCAGGTTGTATTTAATTTAAATATTTGTAAATAAGAGCAAATGTCTGAATGTGGCCTGAATCAAGTTTAAATATTGTTGGCTCATATTGATTATGGTGCCTGAGAGAGATCTATATATATACATAGTCCATTGTTTAATTGTCCTGAATTGTCTTAAACCTGCAAAATACACACTACACATTTTTTTTCTGTTGGTTTCAGGCTTTGTTTAATTTAGACAGATGGGGGATATTTTTTCTTTCTGTTATTACCAATGTCCTGTTACCAGAATGATACCACTTCTCTATCAGAGGCTCTGGAATGTATTAGTTCTTGTTCCATGTTACCTTCTCTAAGAGCAATGAACATAACTGAAGCCTGGGTTATGCATCCTTTTAAGTGTAGCACTATCTCAACACTCAGGACAAAGTAGATAGCTCTTTATTTATGCCGCTGATGTCCTGGTGACAGTAATCAAATAGGTAAGTCTTCCGTATGCATTCTGAAGATCCTGGTATGGAAAATTGTATCAAAGATGTGACTACTGCAAAACAACATTCTGGTTAAGTAATGGAGATGGAAAAGATGCCACAAGGAGTTAAATAAGCTTTTATTTTCCAGCACTCTCATGAATTCTTCCCTACACACATTGTAAAGTTAATAATTGGATCATATACTTAAATCCCAATATTTTACATCAGTGAGACTAAACTTAGAGGTAAGTTTTTTTTAAAAAAAAATGAATTTTAGGTGGCTTACCTATTTCTAAAAAAATTATTCTGGTAGTGTTTTTACTTTTTTCTAAAGATTTATTCTGGTAGTGTCCAAAAATAAAAAGAATCCGATCTAGAACAATCCCGTAAGATGTGCTATAAACATTCAGATTTTACAAGTCTTCATGTCTGTTGCACTAGTAACACTACTATTATTTTGTAAAAATATCTTTTAAAAAATCAAGTTTCTCAGGAGTATTCAAACTGTCTTCAGAAACGTGGCTGGGGTCTTTCTCCAATTCCTCCAGCCAGCTGAAATACTGCCAAGCTTACTTCATATGCAAGGCTATTTGCACTTTCCTGCAAATTACATTAAAGGAGATTAGATGAAAATGACATAACATCTACCATATGCTACCTACAAATCTAAGGAAGGGGGTTTTCTATTTTTGTTACACTAACATATTCAAATGAAAACTTTTTTTCTTCATCTTTCAGTAAGAAATTCCAAGGCCTTTAAATAAATGGAAGACAGGTGAAATTCTTCTAAATAAGGTAAGTTTTTAGCTAATTCTAAAACTTACCATTCCAAAACTCTGATAGTTAAATGAAACCTAATTTCTTAGAGATAAGAAGGCTACTGTTAGCCTAAGACTAAGCCAGTGTTATGACCTCAGTCATAGTCTACTTCTCTTTATCAAGGACTATTCATTTACCATATTCTAGGACGGCCTAGGGGGTTTTTCACAAAAGCTGCCAGCTATTTTTTAAATTAATTGGAAATGTGCTCTTTCTGAGTCCCTGATTCAACCTATTCTACTTTGCCCCAGCGATGTGACCACCTTTATTAAGTATTTAAGGTGAAAGACAAGATGGAGCAAATTATAAAAACCTACATCACACAATCCTGACCCCGCCAGAAAAGTAACAAAGGCCCACACAGGAAATAGTTTTATAAACAAATCACGAGTCCAAACCCAAAGATGGATTTCAAACAGTGTGGATGATGGACATAGATTTAGAAATAGACCATTAAACTTGTTTTCATAATATCAGTGGATTGTATTTTTAAGGAGAATAAAAGAGGGTAATGCCATTCACACTGCATAAACTTAACATGTATCAATCTAAGTATTAATTATTCACACTTAAGTTAGAAATATGGCACTTTCAGGAAGTCTAGAATAAATCAATAGAGAAATAAGCTAAGTGAGTCTAATTCTGTTCAAGTGTATAGTCTTGATAAGAACGTAAAAGGCCCATAAATAAATCTCAAAGAGTGTAATAGGCCAAACACTATTTAAAATTTTCTTTTCTCTACTACACTATTGTCTCCCTGCTCCGCAGCCCCCACCAACCTATGCTATTAGACACATTGCACCTTTTTTCAATAGAACTACCCATCTTACTTGGGAATCTGCTTCTGCATATACTCGGACTACATCTTCTGTTCCAGAGGGCCGAACGAAAGCTCGCGAAAGCCTGTACTTTTTCACCAGGCCGTTGATTGCCTCCTGTAGTCCTGGAGGTGTAACTGCTTGTCTTTCAGCATCAGTGGTACTAATAACTTGCCTGTCTGCAACCTAAGCACAAATATTTTGTATTTGTTACCATATTTAACTTCCTTTCAGCAAATTCACCTCTTCAACATAATTACATTCCCACCAAAAGAATAGGGACCTTTCATTTTAATATAACAGACCTCAGCTTATTGTACCATGGACTACAACACAGAGATAGCAAAGTACCAGATTAAGCACAGGATAAAATTCCAACATTTATGTGACGTCTTTCTTGATCTATAAAAAATTCCCTTTCACAAAAAGAGATACACATTTCCACAGACTGTCTCAAAGTTATAAAATCATTTTTCCTTATTACTAAAGCAAATTTTGGACTCCAGTAAAGCCATTGATCAGTTAACCTTAAAACCCATTGATGTTGAAAACTCATTGCTGTTGAGTCACTTACAACCCACAGCAATCCTTTAGGACAAAACAGAACTGCCCCATAGAGTTTCCAAAGCTAATCCTCATGAAAGCAGACTGCCACATGTTTGTCCTGTGAAGCAGCTGGTGGGTTTAAAGTACCACAGGCTTTTCCACTGCACCATCAGGGCTTCTTTCAAATAACCTTAGGTTGCCAGTTACCTTCTTTTTCAAAAATACCCATTTATAAAAGGGTCATGATTTCTCATAAATATGACAAAAACTCATTTGAAGTAGCTTTTTCTGAGAAATTTGGCTTTCATATCTCTAATTGTCTTTCACCAATTCTGGTGAATGTATAATAAACTAGTATAAACCTGAATAGAACTAAATTAGCAATTCATCTCAAATGCAGGAACTAAATTAGCAATTCATCTCAAATGCCTCAAAACATTTCTCATCCATTGTGCTCACATACCCCTTCTCAGCACCTAGCGTCAGAAAGTACTCTGTAACAACAGCAGGAGCCGTTAGGTGCCATCCAGTTGGTTTCAACTCATAGTGACCCTTTGTACAAAAGAACAAAACAGTTGCCCGGTCCTTTGCCATTCTCACCATCCTTACAGTGCTTGAGCCCATCATCACAGCTGCATTGAGGGGCTTCCCCCTTTTCACTGACCCTCTGTTTGACTCAGCACATTATACTTCTCCAGGGACTGCTCCCTTCTAACATGACCAAAGTGTGAGAGATGAAGTCTGGCCATTCTCACTTCTAAGGAGCATTCTGGCCATACTTCCACCAAGACCAGTCTTCAAGGTGACATTTTTGCTCTCTGACACTTTAAAGAGGTTTTTTGTAGCAGATTTGGCCAATGAAATACATTGTTTGATTTCAGCTTTCCATCATGTTGACTGTGGATCCAAATAAAATTAAATCCTTGACAACTTCAACCTTTATTTATCATAATGTTACAGAGTAATGCAGAGGAAATATGTGCACTTGAAATGATAAACTATCAGGGTTTACTTCAGAATAATCTGGAGGGTATAAATATTTGAGTAGGGAGCTAGATGAAACCTATTAAAGCTGAGTATGTGAAGGTTCACTTTTCTGTTCCCTCTACTTTCTGTGTTTTAAATTTCCCATAGTAAAACCATAAAAAAAAAGTGATGAATAGAGTGGCTTACATCATTTATGATAAAATTAGAAACCAACTATTTGTATAATAAAAGTAAAGGGAATTTACACCCATTCTGTAATTTTTTTTAAAATGTGGGAAAATACGGTTAACCAGTTGCTATGTAGTTGATCCCCGACTCATGGCAGCTCCACATGTGTCAGAACTGGGCTCCCTAGAACTTCAATGTGTGATTTTCTATGTTGATGTATGCGTATGTATAGAACAAAATATGACATACTTGGCAAATATTTTTATATAGTGAGATTCTGGGTAATAGGTTTTAGCAGTTATTATAAAACCCTCTCTCATACCTTAACTTTGAGTTGTCTGTTTGGAATATCCGTATAGAGAGCATCCCACTGTTGTACAGTCAAGCCCTTCAAAGCTAAAATTGCTTCAATCACAAGCATGTCAGAAATAGCATCACCAGTTGCCTGTGCGATGGGAAAACAATACAAGAAATCACTCTCTTAACACAAGCAGATCTTGAATGTGAATGGTTTCTGTCTTAGCAAACCAATCATAGTGCCTTGTGCTCCTCCCCAACTCCACGTAGCATAATAACTAATGATTTTTTTTGTGTGTGGATGAAAATGAACAATAATGAGAGTTATCTAGGGAAGACAGTGTAAAAGGTATATAAAGAATACTGAAACTAAGTCTTGAGACACTTGCCTTTAATCTTATCTGTAAAATGTGATTAGACTGGATACCTCTTAAGGATCCAGCACTAACATTCTGTGACTCAAATTTTTCTTTATAACTAGATCCCCCTTTTTAGGTATTAATAGGTACTACATACTGGAAGGCATCAAGGCAAAGTGGAGAAATGGGAGCTTTGGTGTAAGATAACACCGGAAGTTGGAGTCATACTTGCCACTTACTAGTTCTAAGCCTCTGTTTTCGTCATTTCTAAAATGATTATAATAACCCCTGTCACAGTGTTACTGCAAGAAGTACATGATAAATGTATGTAAAGTGGACAATATGCAGAAGATGCTTAAATATCAATTCCATCACTTTTCCCTGTATTTTTCATCTTTGCTCATCCATAACCACACTCTACTCCAATCCCAACTGTATCTAACTTACAGACATGTCCTTTGTCAAAGGGACAACCAATATAATTTTCTCTAGAAGGTTTAAAAATAGTAACATATCTATACTCAGAAGTTGTTGAACCTAGGTGGATTCATCATACTTAAAAGAACTTTCATCATAAAAACCAGGGAGTGAAGCATATAAAAAAATTGTTACACCATTTCAGTGTAAATCCCAACTGTATGTAACACTGTTGCAAGGAAGCCACCAGGCCAGGACTTAATCCCTTCTTATTTTTTACACAGTATACTCCATTCTGTCTATCTTCTGAATAATGTAAAGGTAGACCAGGAGTCCATTCTTACCTGGTTAAACAAGTCAAAAATGTTTTCAAGCATCTTAGCAGCTTTCCTTTTGTTATCCTCTAGTTCTTTTGCTAGTTGTCTTATCTTCATTTCAGCAAATTTACTAAACAACACCTGCAATGAACGTGTACAAAACAAATCACCCTAACAGCCCCATTCTTCTTTCATTCTAGCTAAAACCATATGCCCCATCATCCTTCCGCAGAGCGGCTGGAGGGTTTGGACTACCATCCTTCTAGTTAGCAGTCAAATGCCTGAGGTACTATGCCACCTTAGGAAGACTAGCTAAAACCACTTTTGAAATTTAGTGAAAATGGAAGAACTGAGGGAGAAAATGGCAATATTAAGTAAAAAAATAAAACAAGAACCTGAAAGAGATTACCAGCCTGCCCCCCGCAAAATGGTTTATTTATGGATTATAAAACTGGTTATCAAAGTTTAAATGGTTGATTACAAAGGAAACACCACTTTGACAAAAGGAAAATACACAAAATTAGTTGGTACATTTGGCTTCGGCAAGCTCTATCATTTCTGTGTAATCTGGTTACTTGACTTGGTCTGCATCCATTTTACTTTGAAAGATATAATTCACTGCAACTAGTACAATTTATTGGACTAAAATTTTTAAGGATATAAGCTAGACTATATATATCTGCTGCAAAAAACCTTTTTAAAGTGCTTGAAGAGCAAAGATGTCTCTAAGGTTCACCTAACCCAGGCCATTTTCAATCACCTCATATGCCTGTGAAAGCTGAACAGTGAATAAGGAAGACCTAAGAAAAGCCGATGCTTTTGAGTTGTGGTGTTGATGAAGAATGCTGAAAGTACCATGGACTGCTTAAAGAACTAACAGATCTGTCCTGGAAGAAGTGTAGCCAGAATGCTCCTTGGAAGTGAGACTGGCCAGCCTTCATCTCACCTACTTTGGTCATGTTGTCAGAAGGGACCATTCTCTGCAGAAGGATATCATGCTTGGTAAGATGGAGAGGGTCAACAAAGGGGAAGGCCCTCAATGAGACAGATTGATGTAGTGGCTGTAATGATGGACTCAAGTATAGTGGGGATAGTGAGGCTGGCACAGGACCAGGCAGTGTTTCATTCTGTTGCACACAGAGTTACTATGCGTCAGAGTCAACTTGACAGCGCCAAACAACAAGCAGCAGCAGCTAGCCAAAGTAGGAAAAGGGTTCATATTTCTCATTTATGGCAAATTGTATCATGGCTGTTAAGTATAAGAAACATACAACTCCTCAAGATTTCTACATCCTTTTGGAATTATCAGTGTTTTTACTGCTCTCAAGAGGTCTCATACTCTGGGGAGTACCATATTATGCTCAGCCATTTAATGAAATGTATGTTTGATCAAGGGTTGGTAATCCAAGGCACAGACCAGCCACTTGATTATGTAAATAAAAGTTTTATTAGAACACAGCCATACCTTTTCACTCAGACTACAAGGGCAGAGTAACTGCATCAGACTTTCTGGCCCACGAAGTCTAAAGCATTTCTATCGAGCCCTTTAACAAAATGTTTACCAAGCTCTAGATTGGATCACTGAAGTTGTATTTTAACTGCATTTTCTAGGAACTTACTTAGTTTTTTCCCCTTCTTATATTTATGGCCTTCAGAAGCCTAAGTCTAATTAATTAAGAAAATGATCTGGCCTAGATTGAGGTTTTCTGTTGGACACTTCAAATCCAATTACAAAATGAGATGAGGTTTAAAAAAATTTTTTTTTAAATTCTAAACCTTGTGAATATACTGAAACTCACTGACTTGCACTCTTTAAAATAGTAAATAGTATATGAATTATATCTCAAAATTAAAAAAAAAATTTATCTGCTAAGGGAATAAAAAAGTCATTATGCTTATCACTAATTAAACACATTTCTGTCTAGTAGTTTATAATTTAAATTTTCTAGTAACTTTAATTTCATCACAACTACTGAAGATTTCCTTTTCCCACCTATGGCCAGCTATAAAAAAATACTTGTTATAGAATAAAATATTAAATTAACCAAATAATCTTATTTTACAGCCATCCCAACCATCTTATGAAAGTGGACTATTACCTGTTACTGCCCCAGATACAGAATGCCCATCATAATGAAAAGTGCCAGCTAAAGCCACAGTTGTAACTGTTTGAGAGAACTTACTGTGCCATGCCCATTTGCTTCAAAATAAACTCCAATGTCAAACTCTTGAGCCTTGTGGTGCAAATGTTTCACACCAGTTTTAGTACAGTAGACGGGTACCTAAAACAAATAACCATGACAACAGTTACTCAATTAACAAATACTGTGTACCTACTATCCTAGGTGTACAAAAAAGAACAGAACTTTTGGAGCCTCGTCTAGTGAAAAAGACAAGTAAGCAATTAAATACAACATGGCAGGTTTTACGGTGGGAGAGTGGGTGCAGTGAGGAAGCACACCAAACCAAACCTTTGAGTCATGAGGATCACCTTGGTGTCAAAGTAGAACTGTGCCCCCACAGGCCAGCGGCTGTTTTGGAAGTAGATCACCAGGCCTTTCTTTTGAGGCACCTCTGAGTAGACCTGAACTACCAACCTTTTGGTAGCAGCCAGTGAGTTAACTGTTGCACCACCCAGCGTCTCTGGGCCATTTGACTGCTAGCCAGAAGATTGGTGGTTCAAACCCACCAGCCACTCCGTGGAAGAAAGACTGGGCAATCTACTTCTGTAGACAATTATGGCCTCAGAAACCCAAAGGGGGTTGCTATGAGTTGGGATAGACTCAATGGCAATGAAGTTGGTTGGTTGGTTTTTCAGTTTAGGGCTTCTGAAGAAGCACACAGTCAAGGGCTTAAGGAAGAGGGGAGCGATAGGATCTTCATGTTTTAGAAAACCGAATTTAATTATCATATGGAGAATGGCTTACAGTAGGGTTGGCCAAGCTTTTTCTGTAAAGGGCCAGACAGTAAACAGCTTAAGCTTTGCAGGCCACAGGTTTCTTTTTTATTAACTACCCAACTCTTCCATTGTAGTATGAAAGCAGCCACAGACAATAATACATAAACGAGTGAGCTTGGTTGTATGCAAAAAAAAAATTTTTTTTTTTAAAACCGGTTGGCGGCCCCCCAAGACTATGGCCCTTAGACACCTTTCAAACCTGGCACTGAACCCACACCCAAAGATCCCCTTTCAGCCTATAATATAGTAAACAATAACATCCATGAGGAACATGCTCCTCAGAACAAACTAAGAGACCAAAAGGGCAGCATTTGCCCAAAAACAAAGTTCAGAAGGTAGGAAGGGTAAGGAAAGAGAGAAGTGTTACATTGAGGGGACTGCAATTAATGTCACAAGACAAAACATATAAATTGTTGAATGGGAAGTTATTTGCTGTGTAAACTTTCATCCAGACCACAATAAAATGTTCAAACAAAACAAACATAGATGGCTACTTATACTTGGCCTACAGGACTGCAGTCTGCCAATCTTGACATAACTAAACTCACATTTCAAAGAGATTCCTCGGCACTTAAAATATATTCCTGGATTACAAAATTATCAAGAGACTTTAAAGAGGCAGAGAAAGAATTTGATGACAAGTTTTCTAAAGGAAACGCTTTTAGAAAAGGGTAGAAAGTCTTTTTCCCTTTTAATATCAGAGAATGAGTTTTTTTCTGATTTTTAAACTGTATTTTACCTTTACATGGACAGTGGCTCAGCTCCCTGCACAACTGCTTATTCACTCATAAGGACATTATTTTCCCCACAGATACAGCCTAAAATAGAATTAAGAAATTTACAAAAATAAAAAATGATTCAATACCTTCATAACTTCTTCAAGATACCGTGTTGAATTTCCATTTGCATATGCAGTTTGTACAACACCAATACTCAAACTTTCTCCAACCTAGAAGAAAACAATGATACTTAACTTACCATCAGAAGTAAAAGAGTCTATAAAAGCAAAAATATAATGAGCTATAAAAGATAACATAAAATCTTCTGCCAGTTCAGCCATAGCCTGGTGTATGTAATAAATGACTTACTGAAAATGTACATGTAAACCAGAAAAGTGGCTAAAATGTTTTAAAGTAAAGAACATATGAACAATCATCTCTTGATCTTTTTATCTTTTATTTAAAGTATTTATTGAGTTCTTAAAGTAAAATATATTTTTACTAAATTATAACAATTATTTCCAATTGTATACAAAAGCCAGCCTGAAATTTATTTCCAGAAAGAACAAAATATCTCATTACAAAGCTGATCATGATAATAATAAAAAATAATAATAAATCTCTCAGATGATGAGTATTTCTGTTTAGATTTCAGGCTTTGGGGAGGATGGTAGAACTGTCATTAAAAGATCAGTTATAAAAAAAACTAAAACTTCATAAAGCTTCAAATCATAAAACTTTGCCAGTAGAAGAAACAAAAAAGTATCTTCAGGTTCCAAAATCAATGCCCAATATTGAAATTGGAATTACTACTACTTTCTGCATTTCCTAGCCACAAACATGAGAAATTATCCATAAGTAATGCCTTTTAGACATTCAAATGACTGTCTGATACAGAATTATTTTACTAGTATATCTTGTTTGCCATGGTAACCAATCACCCCAAAATACCTCCAATAGAAGCTCTTTAAGAAAGCTGCTAATTAGTGTTGCTATTTTGTCTCCATCTATAAGATGAAAGTGACCGTCAGCATCTTGGTAGTAATAAACAATTCTGTCTGCATCCCCATCAAAGGAACAGCATCTTTCATTGGACTTCATTTCCATTCCTAGCACAAGAGTAATTTAAAATCTCATTTCTGTCAACATAATTAGTTTTAAGTTTTTCTCTCACGCTAGTTACTATGGAAAATTTTTCAATAAAGTAGATCATAACTGGCCTTATATGTTGCAAATAGCATGTCTCCTATGATTTTTCTATGAGATATTTAAAATAACCGTTCCACCATTACCCTTCCACAAAAACCAATGTCTTAATCTTTAAATTCTGTTCCAGTTTACTGGTGTTTTTTACAGGTCAAATTCTTTTACAGCAAACTGAAAAAGGAACACTCAAAATCTCTTTATTCTGAAACTTGATATAATACTAAAATAAAAATTCCATTTTACAAGCTAGGTGGTTTAGTTAAGACAGGTTTCCTATACAGTTTTGAAAACTACAGATAGTATCTTAATGCAATTTACCTAGTAGTGTGATATCCCTTACATACATATATAAATTAGCAATAGGTCAGGTGTGTGCTTTATTTCTGATAGAAGTGATTTATTTGTTCACAGCATAAACAAGAAACACTGATAAGAGAACAAAAATTACAGCATGTGAGTTTGTATAATTTGCATAGTTATCAAATTTTCGACTCTAATTTTTTTAAAGAAAATTTGAGTGTTTCTCAACCATAACAGCAGCACAGTGATAAATTCAACATGAGGCAACTAAGAAGTGAGGGGGTTTTTTTTGTTGTTTTTTCCCCCTGGAATATAAATATATATTTATGCTACCAGGAGCCCTGGTAGCATAGTGCCTAGGGCACTTGACTGCTAACCAGAAGGCTGGTGGTTCAAACCCACCAGCCACTCCTCAGAAGGAAGGTTGGGCAATCTACTTCCGTAGTGATACTGCTTCGGCAACCCAAGGAGGGGTTGCTATGAGTCAGGGCCAACTCAACGGCATACAACAACATGAGACACAGAATGCAAGTTTCCAGAAAACGGAGAACCTGTGGGTTTTGTTCGTAATCTCCAGTACCTAGAGCAGTAGGGAGGAAGAGCTCAAATACTCAGTGAATGCATAAAAGAGTAGCACAGAACTGAACTGTCAATAAAACAAATACCAAAACAAGCAATTCCTTGAAAAGAAGCTAAAATTGGCTGATTAAAAATAATTTGACCAAAAGTTGAAAATGTAAATGCTCCTAAAGTGAAGCAGAATTAATATAAATGAGTGAGGGAACTGGGTGATGTCTGTAGAGTTCTGTAGAATGCATGTCCTGTTTCTGCAGGAGGTTTGTTGTTGTTGTGATGTTCTGTCAAGTCAGACCCAACTCATAGCGACCCCTCCTTGGGTTTCCAAAGCGATATTACTATGGAAGTAGATTGCCTAGCCTTCCTTCCAAGGAGTGGCTGGTGGGTTTGAACCACCAGCCTTCTGGTTAGCTGTCAAGTGCCTTAGGCACTATGCTACCAGATGAGGGGCAGCAGCTATCAAATGCAGCAGACTACAACCATGTACCGTGTTTATGCAAATAATGCTCCTATTACACGGTGTTTGGTTTTGTTTTTTGCAAACCACGCAACACCCCCCCCAATACACCAGCACATTAGCTTCCTGTGCACACTATGCATGTTATATGAGTGCATGCATTATTTCCATGGGTGCATTATATGCAAAAAATATGGTTAAGTATGGCTATTTCTGCCTTTGGTAAAGAGAGTGATACTTAAATGAAATCACAGAATTTTTAAATGGAGGGAACAAATGCAATTAAACATACAGAGCAGACCAAACAAAACATACATGTAAGCCGATTTAGCCTAGAGGCTGCCAATTTAGAATCTATAATGCAGATAATTGTAGGACACTGCAATCTGATGAAAGTCTTCCTCCTAATATGTCCACTGTGGAAAAACTGATTTTGCAATCACAACCAAATAGAGTTGCATTCATTGTCCACAATGTCTCAGAAAAAGCAAAAGGCAATTATACTTACTATTGCTAACATTTAGATTAGTGGTTCACTAAGTGTGGTCCCCAAAGCAACAAAATAAACAAAGTCTGGGACCTTTTTTAAAAAAAAATGTAATTTATTAGGCCCCATCCAAAACTTACAGAATTAGAAACTCTGGGTAGAGCCCAGCAACCTGTGTGTTTACAAGTCCACCAGTGATAGAGCATGCTGAAGTTCAGGTAACTGTTTTTTGATTTCACTTTTCTCATCCTTATTTCCTACAAATGGACTTTATAGCTGGAGAACACAGACCGTATTTTCAATGTGACCATGTAGTGGAAAAACTGCTAGATGTCTAACAGTGGCAGAGCCAGGACTAGTGGCATGACTTTACTCATTTGGCTGCTTCCTTTTGTAAATGAGATGGTCTTCAAAGAGCCTTCAAAACAAAATTTTACAGTAGTAGTTCTGCATACCTTCAGGAGGTTTCTGATGACTTTTCACAAAATCAGCCCCACATAAATGATTGAGTTTCCCTTTGGTCCCATCATTAAATAGGTGAACTGACAGGCTCTGTGAGAAGTAGTGTTCCATTTCTCTTAGCTTTAGGGCCCCAATACCATTTGCACAGTCGATTTTAAGTGTTCTATTTTCATCTCCACTGCAGGAAGCCTTCACAGAAAAAAGATACATGGAAACAACATTTCAAGTTATAAAAGTGAAGTATTTATGTATATGGGTGTGTGTGTGTACCAAGATCCATACTCCTGCTGAGTCAATTTTGATTCAAGTAGAACTGCCCCGTAAGATTTCCAAGGCTAGAAATCATTACAGAAGCAGAATGCCACATCTTTCTCCCACAGAGCGGCTGGTGGGTTTGAACTGCCAGCCTTTTTAGTTAGCAGCAAACCAGAAAACCAAACTCATTGCCATCGAGTAATCCAACTCATAGCAACCCCACCTTGCGTTTCCAACGTAGTATCACTACAGTAGTAGATTGCCCCATCTTCCTTCTGAGGAGTGGCTGGTGGGTTTGAACCGCCAGCCTTCTGGTTAGCAGTCAAATGTCTTAGGCACTATGCCACCAGAGCTCTAATCACTGTGCCAACGTGGCTCCTTTATATACATATACATATATATATATAAACATCTTCTTATATTTCAGTTAACTTATTTTAACCCAAGAAACTAGCAGGTACACATGTTCAAATGTTGTTAAAGGCACTATTTATACATGACCTGGGTGGTGTAATCCATTAAGATAATCTACTTCCAGTAAGTCAGCCATTTCGTAAACCAGTATCTGATATTTAAGTGAAATCATGAAGCGCTCTTCCAACTGGACACATATGAACTTAGTAGCAACTGGTTTATACATAACCAATGCAAAAATGAAATTTAAAATTTAAAAATATTTTGGATACTAGGAAGTTCTGACACTATATAACTTCAGTAACTGAAGTTACTTCAGTTACTAGAATGGAACTTTATTAGAATTTAGCCTCAATTAAGCAGGGTCCCTTGAAAATTCTATCATGGTCTATATTACATGACAGCCATTCTTATGTGAGAATAAGTATATAGATAAATGAGCTGTAATAATATCTCTCATTCTCTAACCATCTGCACTGCTTTACTGATCTTCATAGCATAAGATACCACCTGACAGGCTTGGTATTTTTCCTAATTAACCATCTCCTTTTCCACGCATTCTCACCCTAGAATATTATGCTATGAGAGCGGGGCTTTGTTTTGATGAACTGTGCCTGGCCATAACAAATAATATTTGTTGATCAAATGAATTATAAACCCCTGGAATCTCATGCAGATTTAACAAGCCAATATACCTAAGAAAAAAATATTTCTCAACAGTAGAAAGCTAATAGCACCTATATTAACTCTGGTACCAAAGTCATATAAATGAATATTTATGATAACCATAGCAAGAATAGTACTATATTTTTATGTAAATAACACATTATACTCTTTTTTGTAAACTGCAGAACTCCCTTGCATGTTAATTTCCTGAGCACACTATGCGTGTCATAAGCAAAAAATAGGGTACTCCCCCTCAGTGATCTCTGAATGTGATGTGTTCCTTGCCAAGTAAGTGCCAACCCATGGTTAGCAGGATATGTAGATGAGAACTTTGTGGAATCCTAGGGAGAACAAAAATATATTTTGTACTTTTGCAGAAAGGAGTGACAAACTATCTAATTAAGATAAATTGTTCAACCTAGCAGTTTCACACCTAGTTACAAACTCAAGAGAAATGAAAACATATATCCACACAGGAACTTCAGCAACAACGTTTAGAACAGCATTATTTTTAACAGTCAAAAGGTAGAAACAACACAAATGTCCATCAATGATGAATGGATAAAATTGTGCTAGATGCATACAATGAGATACTGCCCTAAAAAGGAACAAAGTACTAACAGTAGATGCTACAACTTCCATGAACCTTGAACACAATATGCTAAGTCAAAGAAGCCAGACACAAAAGATGACATATTTTATGATTCTTTTATATGATGTATCCAGAAAGGCAAATTCAGAGACAGATTAAAGGTTACCAGGAGAGGGGAGAAGAGGGAATGGGAAATAATAGATTTACCTGATAGGTCTGGAGTATTTTTATGGCATGACAAAAAGTTTTGAAATTGGAGAACTAGACAACACTGTCAACTAAATACTATTGAATTGTACACTGTAAAACAGTTAACTATTATAAGAACCTCACCTCAATTACATGACAATATATATTATTTTTATATATATCTTTGTAATTGATCTGTGGTGATTCATTTATTTAAATTCTAACCAAGTTCAAGAGATTTTCACCTGTTTGGTAAGTTCCACAAAAGCCTTAGAGTGTTTCTGGTAGTAACCTTCTATAGTTGCCTTTCCATACTGGTCACTGGTATTTCGACAGTACACCATGTAGTGCAGCTGGGGTGTGGTTAACATGCCATAATCTGTCATAGAAATACAAAAAGAAATTCACTACATTTAATAAAGAAAAAAACCAAGTTTAAATGGATTCATCTTGAGTCCCAGAGCATTTAGAATAAACTCCAAATCCTTACCTTGACCTGAAAGGCTGAGCACGATCTGGCCCCCGCTCACCGCACTAACCTTATCTTCTACTACTTTCCCCCATTCTCCCCATGCTGCAGCTGCATTAACCTCCTTTCTTTCCTGAGTGAAATGAAGGAAAGACTAAAGAAGTCACTCAAATTTTCCTAGACTCAAACACTAGAAGGAGGACCTGGGCGGCACAAACAGTTGAGCCCTTGACTCCTGAGCAAAGGCTGGTGGTTTGAACTCACGCTGAGGCATCTCAGAAGACAGGCCTGGCGATCTGCTTCTGAAAGGTCACAGCCTTGAAAACCCTGTGGAACAGTTCTACTCTGCAAACGTGGGGTCACCATGGCAACAAGAATACAACACTAGAAAGAATGATGGTTCTAGAGACAGAATGAGAGTCTTGAGAAGGTCACCCTCTGTGGAGGTAGAAACAGAGCTTCGAACTGGTGCTTCCGGACTCAGTCATGGCTAAGGAAGTGAAACCAGAACAGGAAGGCACTCAAATTTATAAAATGTGGGTGTACCGCAAAGGAAAAAATTATGGATCAACACCCTTACAGAAACTTAACCTCCCTCTTAGAAGTCAAGGGCAGCATGCGCCTCGCATACCCCAACCAGCACTCGTGACTGGCAGAGGCAGAAGCGGTGATGCCCCTCAGGGACGGCAGGGCCCACACTGCTTGGAATGTGTGTTGGCCTCTACATTCCTGGCAATAATCCAACCTCCTGCATCAGGCTCCTGAAAGGACTCACTGCCTCTTCCAAGTCTCCCATTTCAGAGCTTCAACCCATAATCTCTCCATTCCAGTTATTGTTCCAGTACACCCACATTTTACAAATTCAACTCTGTTCCAATTTCAATGCATCAGCCCTACCTGAACTGGCTCAAAGGCCTGAGTAGAAAGAATATAGTTTGAGGCAGGCTGAATCCAGGGAGGGTAGGCCAACTAAGGGGAGACAAACACCCAGATCAGTGCTTTACAAATTACAGGCTGGAGCCCATCAGTGGGTCATGGGATCTACTTAGACTATACCAAAATAATACAAAACAAACCAGTTGCTGTTTATATAAAGATCAATCAAATCATTATCAATCTGTCCTCCTTTGTTCCACTTCTGAGACCAACCACAAATACAGCACTTCTTCCTCCAACCCTAAACACTCAGTCAGGGTTACAAGTTACAAGGCACAATCCCTCCAGACTGTCCCACCAGCCCAAGACCTCAGATTAACAGTTGCAAGCTTACAGTCTCCAGGATACCATCACTTCATGTTTCCTAGCTACAAACTGAGGGTTTTCCCACTGCCCCCTCAGGATGCCGGCCATAAGTGTAAGGGTGAATACAAACTGAAAATAAGGTTTTAATTCTCCCTTGAAAATGAGAGGCTCCCCTCATTATTGTGGAGAGGTTTTCTGGATAGGGACTGGGATTGGGATTACATTTTATTTTTAATTATACTTCCCAAATATAAATTTGTGACTCCCAGCTCCTCCTTACTTCTGCCCTGCTAGCTCCCACTACTCCCTTGAGTTTTGCTAAAATCACTCAAAATTCAAGGAAAACCCTATACATGACTTACAATTATATTTTTATTACAACAAAAAGGATACAAATAGGCATAGGGCAAGGTCTGGGAACATTCCCCATGCTCAGCCTTCAAGTCTTAATAAGGGATGTAATATTCTGCCAAGTGCATCTTTTTTCACAAACCAGGAAGCCCCTGGAGCTTCCACAACATTCAGAGCCTTAAATGGAACCTCATTATATAGGCATGATTGATTGAATCACATTCCCACTTCCCTGAGGTTAACTGCTTATCACTTGGTGGTCTTTCTGGCTTGGCCAGTCCTCACCTGAGTCATCTGATAAGCATAACTTATCAAAATTTGTTAGGTTAGATGTGGTGTGGAGACATTATCAAAGACACTTCAATCAATGGGGGAAATTCCAAGGTTTTAGAGGTTATCCCTCAGGAACCAAGGACAGACACCAAATTCTTGGTAATGTTACATTCTTTACCCCACAGAGAGGCAACTAGCATTTCTGCATTTTTAACGTAACAATGAATGCATGACATGTAGTAAAGGTAAATACTGTTTATTGAAATTCTTTAGTGACATACACAAGCACACATACATGTCAAGACACAAAATAGGTTTCTCACTATGACTTGGCTGTGATATACAGTGATGTACATAGTGCACAGCAGGTAGTCAAAAAGTTTGATCACCCTATACAAGGATACAGGTAGCTGAAACTATGGCAGTACACCATTCAGAAAATCGTGTAGCATAAAAGAACTAAGGAATGCCCATATTAAAAGAGCCAGAAGAGCCAGAACTGATGCTATGTAAAGAACAGTGGCCAAGGAAGTAAAAACTAAAATAAAACAGGAGTTTTAATAGTTGGAAAGCTACGAAGTCAAATGAAATAACAACTTTAAAACGAGACTTGTTGATGTTATTTGTAAGTCCCCGACAAAGCTATGTATCCTTCCTAGAAGAGTGCACGTGCACGCAATACTCTGCACCCGATCCCAAGAGGTCACAGGGTCCCTGCAGCTTATCCAAAGATTCCATGGGGTTGCTGAGTCCCAGGTTTGACGATCAGAAATTAGATGAGTGTAACAGGAGATATTGCACTGGAGGAGCAAGGATAGAGACTCACCTTCAGCAGGCTAAAAACTGGGAGACAAGAAAATAGACAATGGGCTCTTCTAAGTGGTCAGACTAATTGTGAAGGAACTGAACACAGCAGGAGCTAGATGGGAGGTTTAAAAGGTGAAGAGATTTTTCTTTTTTCAATGTGAAAGATATGACACTAGGAAAATGTTCACAAGACAGTGGAGTCACTGTCTTAACAAGGGACATAATTGAGTCTCCCTTGTCTTGCATTTCAAAAATCTGTCAAAAGTAAACAATCATGATTACATGTAGGCCAAAGGTAATTTCCATCACTATTTAACAGGCAACAGCTGACTCCACAGTTCATCAGCTATTAGCAATACCTAATATTGACAAAAGAAGCTTTCATGGCGTGGTACTTAAGGCCTTTGGCTGCTAACCAAAATGGTACAAACCCACTAGCTCCTCTTCAGGAGAAAAATGAGGCAATCTCCTTCCATAAAGATTCATAGTTGTAAACCTTACAGGGCAATTCTACTCTGCCCAGAGGGTGGCTAGGAGTTGGATTCATCTCAGTGGCAATGGGTTTGGTTTTGATTTAATATCAACAAGTCTCCCAATATCAGCATCTTCAAGTTGCTTCAAGGGTTTCCACGTGTACTGACGTAAAGGAAGATGTAGAAGATCAGAATGTCCTACCTACCATCTCCTACAGTATTCCCATAGAGAAAATATGCATGCCCAGGGGGGAAAAGAAAAGTTTAGTATTTTATATCTGATAGTTCATTTTTTATGTTTTTATCAATATTTTGAAACTTTTTAAAAACAAATACTTATGCAATTTTTATGGAGTTTTTTTTATTTTAAAGATTAATTTACAGCTCAAGATAGCTAACTACTTACCATGGAATTGACCTCCCAAGACAGTCACGCCATCTATAACAGACTGTGAAAGTTTCTCACTGCTTGGCCTAAGAAAGAAAGAAAATAAAACCAGCAGAGTTGCTTGTTCTGAAAGAATATGCAGGTATGTGCTATAAACTTCAGAATAAGAAGAAGTTTGCTGTATTTTAATGGAAATCTATTAACTCTGAAAAACTCCACTGCCTTTAAGTTGATTCCAATACTTAGTGACCTAGGACAGAGTAGGGCTGCTCCCCAGGATTTCCAAGGCTGTAAATCTTTACAGAAGCAGGTTGCCACATGGTTCTCTGTGGAGTGGCTTGTGGGTTCCAACTGCCAGCCTTTTGGTGAGCAGTTAGTTTGTGCTTAACCACTGTGCCACCAGGGCTCCTGTACACTCTGAGAAGCTACAGGTAAATTGTAAGCACTTTACAGTAGCTTTTAGAACGTATTTCTTGAAAAGATTTTTAGCTTTTAAATGTATTTAGAAAATAGATATAAAATCATACACTAATCCTACTATCTTAAAACACCTTTTCCCTCCAAGTTTGACTCTAACAATATTTATGTTGTCAAAGAATAATTACAATAAATGTCAAACCATGCATAATATAGTACTAGGTCCTAAACTACCACAGATTGAAAAAAAAATTTTCATTTTTAAAAGTCCAAATTATTTTTATACATGAAAATGAAGTTGATTACATACTTGCCTTGTAGAAAAAGATGTTCCAAACTGTTCAAATTAGTTAAGAGGCAAGAGCCAAATACATATGGGCTAGTTTTTCAGTAGAATAGTAATTTATTTCAGAGCTGAAGTCACTTGCATATTTCTGCTACCTATAAATCTGCAATCAGTGGTGTCTGAAAGACCACTCTGGTAACACAATAAAGGGTTTTTTTTAAAAAAAAAAAAAAGTCTAACACCCAGCCTACAACTCACTCCTGTTGCTGTTCTTAGTTGTAATAGAATTGATTCCAATTCATGGTGATTTCAGTGTAAGATTCCTCAACAAGCAAGATAAGCCAGGCTTGCTTGTACTTAACTAATCTATAGTGAATAATTTCACATTTGTTCACCACATCAAAGATTCTGCTTCTAGGTATGGTTGGCATCTCCAAACCCCACAGCACCTTCCTACAGAATCAAAGCCTCTTCAAATTTATACTCACTGACAGGGACAGAGTACCCAGTAAGCAAAGTAAGCAGAGGCTTACTTGTGATTACTTAATACACTGTTGGTTACAGATAAGTAAAGTCAGCACAAGTAAGCCAGTGCTTACCTTGCTTACTGGCTAATCCACCAGAGTAAAACTGTGCTCAGAAGAGTTTCCAAGGCTGTGACCTTTCAGAAGCAGATTGCCAGACCTGTTTCAGAGGTACGTCTGGGTGGGTTCAAACTGCCAACCTATCAGCTCCTAGTCAAGTGCCTAACCATTTGGCCCACCAGCCACCGGACTTACTCCTACATCCTATTACGAAAGTTAGGTAGATGGACAAGCCGCTCAGGGCAGTTCTACTCCACATAATTCTTTCAAAGCCTTTTGGATCCTGAGAAGGATGTAACCATTCACACTAGTTTTTCAAAACTGCCTTCACCAGGTAGCTCCTAGTTCACCTGGTATCTCTACCAATAACTATGATGCTCACCTGGTATCTCTACCGATAACGACGAAAGCATCTTGTTGGAAATTCACTGCTTCCTTCTCACCGATGTCAATCAGCACTCTCTGCATATCCTGCTCCTCAATGTTGGCCAAACAGGTAGCATGTTCCTCCCAGGATGGTGCCAACATTTCACCCAGAGGATCGATCAATTTTACACCATTGTCTTCCTTAAAAGAAACAATAAGCAATCTGTTCATATTCATGAGTGATGACTTGAAGAAGGAGAACTCATACTATTTTTCCTCCCAACAAAGGACAGTGATGGCAGAGCAACTTCAAGTGACCACAGACTGAAAACCAGCTGTTTCAATTTTAGATACATTATCTCTTTAGATCCTCATGACACACTTATCAATCTTACTATGAGAAAACTGAGATTTAAACAGACTAGGTAATTTGCTTATTATGTCCACACAGTTAAGTGTCAGTGCTGATATTAAAAGCCTGACTCTTACATCTCCCACCCACCTTGCTACACTGGCACTCACTATCACCTAACTGACTAGGGCACAACTGGAGGAGGTTGAGGGCATGTACAGAGCCTTCACCCTGTAACTCTGACTCCAAGAACATACTGGCCAGCCTGTCAACCACTAGTGGCATAGCAGCTGAGTAGTGACTCTTAATTCTGTTCTGCTCAAATTCCTAGAATGAAAGTACAGTTAGGACTGAATGCCAACTGAAGGAAATAGTTCAGAATAGTTTTGAACTAGGTTGATACTTCTCAAACTAACAAATTTAGAGTACTTCCTACAAGTTACTAATCATTTATGATGGTTTTCACATTTACATATTTATCATTACCACACATTTAGAATGGGACAAGCAGTATCTCCTTGTTTAGGGGAAAGTAGAGGTAACAATCCTACACTGGCCTACGTAACTTGCAGCTAATTTTACTACAAAGTAAAAATCTATTGCCTTAGTATCACATAACAGCATATTATTGAAACCATGTATTACTGAACTATAGGCAATGCATAATAAAATTAATGTTTTGATTATAAATTGGTCAGGAAAATGAGAAGTACTGGGCTTCATCAACATTCTGCCCCAAATTTTTGGATTTCTTGGATCCCTGCAGCCATCTGCTGATTCAGGACAGGAAACCACTCTCTATCCATAGAAAACCAGCCTCAACATTCAAAATGTGCTGTCTTTTCAAATATTTGCCCTCTCCTCCCTTCCTGCTCCTACCCCCAATCTCTTCCATCAATTCTAAGTTCATAGAATACCCTTTTATTAATGATACTATCAGAATACAACTAACCTGGGAAGAACATTCTGTTATTTCTCTAATATGGACACCCTCCAAAAAATGACAGTATCTCATTTCTTTCTCACCATACCCTAAAGAGTCATAAGCAAAATGACTGTTCCAATAAGAAAAAGTTGTGGTTTTTTACTTTTGTCCCTATGCCCCCATCCCCCAATCCAGAGGCACATAATGAGAAAGCATATTCCTCAAATTGGAATCTGTACTTTGAGTCAAACTGCCCAGGTACTAGATTTGGTCTTGTAAATAAAGGTTTGCTTTGACAGAGTCTAAATGCATTACCTCAGGATTGTGTGATGCTGTTACCATGACTCCTATCGTAGATTTTGTCTGTTTTGACCTCAGGACAGCCAGTAATCCCATGCGAAACATGACATGATCAAGATGTTCTGCCTTTGTTCGAAATCCAGCAGTCCCATATTGAAGAATGAGTCCACTGGGCTTGGCGTGTAATGCAGAGTATTTTGTAATGGCATCTAAATCCATGTCTACGAAATTATGGAATAATTTTCAGACATAATAAATTTTTCAAGGACCGTTTGCTTCAAAAGCTTCACTCTACCCTAACAGGTCTACCTTACTCTGAGCATCCCAAAAGGATCATATGCATCAAGTCAATCCCAACTCGGTGACCCCCATAGAGGTCCTAAACTTGTATATCTTTATGGAAGCAGATTGCCTCATCTTTCTCCTGCAGAGTGGCTGGTGGGTTTGAATCATGGACCTTTATGGTTAGCAGCCAAATGCTTTACCCACTACACCACCAGAGTCCTTACCTAGAAGATCCCATCCTACTTACATTGTCCACTCCAGGCCAGATTCAGAGCAGAAATCAGGTTGTCCCAATTCAACTCCCATTTTGGCTCAAGGACTATTCCTTGACCCAGGTAGAATTTAAAATGCTTCACTCTCAGCTAAAAGATTTCACATCAAGATTGAGATACTCCTAAAAGAGCAAAGATCATCTTGCTTTACAAATAAGAAAATTTTAGCCTGGGCCTAAATTAAATAACGTGGGTGACTGAGGGCTAAGGTCAAATTCTCCAGCTTCCCAAGTAGACTGGCACTACATACCTCATGATATCTTTGAAATCTGTGAGGTTCTTCTGCTATTCCCCCCAGCCTTGAGTGCTATCTTCTCAAAAGAAAAGTAAAGGGCAATTGTTTCAAAGACTCTGCCCAGACCTCCTAATATGTCATGCAGGGGATTTTTCAATTTTCATTAGGAAGCGGAAGAACATTCCTCTAAATTGAAACTAACATCTTCCTAAGTAATGCTATCTTTTAACTTGAGTTTTTAAAATAAAATATTGGCTGTAAGCCCACTAAGGAGCTCTGGTGGTGTAATGTCTAAGGCATCTGACTACTAACCAGAAGGCTGGCGGTTCAAACCCACCAGCCACTGGGCAGAAGGAAGACTTGGCAATCTACTTCTGTAAAGATTTTTGTTGTTGTTATGTGCTGTCGAGTCAAACCCGACTCATAGCGACCCCTCCTTGGGTTTCCAAGGCAGTATCACTACGGAAGTAGGATTGCCCAACCTTCCTTCCGAGGAGTGGCTGGTGGGTTTGAACCACCAGCCATCTGGTTAGCAGGCAAGTGTCTTAGCCACTATGCTACCAGAGCTCCTTCTGTAAAGATTTGCCACCTCAAAAACCCAAAGGAGGTCACTATGAATCGGAATCAACTCGATGGCAGTGAGTTTGTCTTGGTTTTGTAAACCCACTCATACTTCCAACCTTAGTCACTCAGTACTCCATTTACTTCCTGGAGCAATCCAATCCCCAATTAGCTCAGAGACGATGAAAGAGCCTACAGTTAACATTATCTTCTTTTCTTTATGTTACTCAATCGATGAACAAAAGCTAAAAGAAACGGTGGAGAAAGAAAAAAAAAAGGTTGTTTGTGTCCAGTTAGAAAAAGCTGGCAAGAAGTCAATTTAGTTCAGCTCAAAATGATCAAATTTGTTTCACAAGCGTAACTTAAAAAAAAAAAAAGCAATGTATTATGATTATTCATAAAGGCATAAATTAGTACTGCTAAATCCACAAAGTGTTAAAATTTTTCAAAGTCAGGATAAATGTTTCCATCCTTAAATGAATTTCAGATCCTAAAAGCTATATTCAATGTGCATGTGATTGCTTTAACTTAGGTTTTCAAATACACTCTTTTAAGAAAGTATCCCCTTTCCCTTCATTCAATCTTCAAAGCCCTCTTTGTTCCTCTCTCCTCCCCTTTCTCTCTACCCTGGCACTCAACAGTGAGACTCACCACAGTCCAGTAGACAAGCCCCACCAGAAAAAACAAGAGGCACGAGAATGAGACCCTTGAGCCAAATCTAGCGGCAACACTTGCCAGCTGTGAGGGTGGCAGTCCAAACCCTGAGTGATACTGTCAGAGGCAATAACATCAAAATGACTGTCTATAAAATTTTTGTGCAGTGTTTCTGCAGGAATCTATTATTTCTTATATTAAAAAAAAATCCTTTTAGTTAGTTATAACAACAAAAACATTTTTCATAAGCCCAGCTTACATGTATTAATGTATCTACAAGGCTAAAACTCTATGCTAATTTACTTTTTGAATCTTCTCATTTGCTCTGGTCAGAGCTATCATTATTACCCAATTACAAGGAGCTTCCAATCACATAGTTTCATCTGCACGTGCAACAATCGTGCATTGTTGCTTTCATTGCTGCCAGTGTTTTCATAGCAGCTGATTTTGTCAAATCTCCGCTGTTTAACTACAATACTGTAGTATTTGTGAACCTACATCAATAACTTTACAAATAAAGTAAATAATTAAAGGAAAAGGAAAAACATCTGCTCAGTTACTAATTATGTAAATGCAGTGTAAACATTTTACAAAACAATTTTATTGTTAGTATTCACGTAAGAAATGTTATTATAACATTTAAGACATTTACAACTACCTTTATCTGATTAAAACGTATAATAAACATTACTAAGGATTTATATGGTCCGGTACAGAAGGAAGCCCGTGGAGGGGGGGAGATGACACCGTGGGTTACCACACTGGGTGACGCCAACTCTAGTGATGTCACTGGCGGGACCCACCACCCGCTCCCTAGGCGCCGTGGCAGGTGGGTGTGTCCGGTACGAAGTCCGGAGCTCAGTGGCCACCCAGCGGGCTAACGGCTGATAGGCCGAGGATTACGCCAGCCAGGTTTCCCCTCAACCTCTGTGCTGAAATTCTCCTATTCTCCACTCCAAATATAGGGCCCTACTCACCTCTATCAGAACCGCCCCTGCTTCCAGTGCGCCGAGAATCCGACTTCAGCGATCAGAACTCGCAGACGTGTCCTTGCGTGGCTTCCGGGTCGTGGCCACGCCCTCCAGCCAATCTCGGCGGAGGAATCTGCGGGCCCCGCCCTAGTCTCACAGTAGATCACGTGCCGAACTCGCCCGCGGAACTGCGGTTGTGGTTCTGAGCCCTGGGGCTGCGCCCTTTGAAAGACGAGAAAGGGTGAGGCCTCAGGCTCTGCGGAGAACTGCCGGGTACTGGCAGGGGTGGGGGCCGAGGGTCACGGGCCGGTAGATATACAGCCTTTGCCTCGAAACCTGGGCCTCAGAGAGAGGCAGACGTGTTGTAACTGGGAAGCCGGAGGTCCCCGGGGTCTTGGAAGGGGATACGAACTCTGATTTGGGATCTCGGCCACAATGAGCGCCAGCTTGGCTTTCCTCGCCGCCCCCTCTCGATTCTCGAAGTTTCATTTCCCAAACCGTTGACTCTGGGAAGCCTAGATGGGGCACCATACTCCTGAGCTCGCAATGAAAGTCATTTTCTTTATTTACCTGTAAGTCTCCTCTTCTCCTTGGCCTCTCAGAACAGAGACCGGGTGGATACGAGATGCCCCCGGCTCCACGGATGCTGCTGGGTATGTGTGGCTACCGGCAGAGGTGGGAAGGCCATCCCTGGAGGCGCCCTCAGCGCTGGGCTCGAGGGGCAGAGACTGGCCCGCGCTGGCCGGAGGCGTTGGGGTAGCGGGCCCGGGACCCAAGTGGGATTCGTTACCAGGCTCCCTGCCTTTCCCAGAGCCCTGCTGGCTGACCAGCTACTGTTGTAGCATCTGTTGGCTGCCAACCACATACCAAAAAAAAAACAAACTAAACTCTTTTCTGTTAATTGATTCTGACGCATGCAGACCACATAAAACGAATAATACAGTACACCTGTTGAAAGTGAAGAATCCTATATCTGTGGCTGAAGCAAGGAGCCCTGGTGGCTCAGTGGTTAAAGCGCTAGGCTGCTAACTGAAAGGATGGCAGTTCCAACCCAGGAACAGGAGAAAAATGTGGCAGTCAGCCTCCTTAAGGATTTATAGCCTTGGAAACCGTGTGGGGCAGTTCTGCTCTGTCCTGTAGGGTTGCTGTGAGTCGAAATGAACTTCGTGGCAGTGGGTTTGACTTTGGTTTTACAGCGGGGCGGGGTAGGGGGTGGTTTGGGATACTAGATTTTAGGGTCTGGAGATAAAGCAGAAGAGTGTAATTGATGCGGTTTGTGTCTCTAGCTCTGTTGCAAAACACTGCAGCAGAACCGTTTCCACGTAAAAGGTATCTTAAGGAAATTTTGTTGGACACTGCTGACGTTGACAAATCCGGTATCCCTGCGACCTTGCCAGATTTCCGGGAACGCTGATTCCAGGGAACATGTCTGCTTCAGTGAAAGAATGCCTTCAGCTTCAGCTGCTGGAGATGGAAATGCTGTTTTCTATGTTTCCTAACCAAGGAGAAGTAAAACTTGAAGATGTAAATACCCTGACACTTATAAAGAGATACTTGGAAGGCAAAAGAGAGGCCCTGCCACCAAAAATCGAATTTGTGATTACACTGCAGATTGAGGAGCCCAAGGTGGGTGCCCTGAATTGTTTTGTGCTTTCCCAGTTTTTTAACCAAAATGCCTGGAACAGGAGCTTCTGAGTCAGGAACAAATAGAGAATTTTCCAGATGTATATTTCTTTTACTTGTTTGAAAGCAAAATATATTTTTCTTTTTTAAAAGCTACAAAAGCGAGATACAATGTAAACTATGAGATGTTTTATAAATTCTCTTCAATAGATATCCTGGATTTTATATAAATTTGTACACACTTCTATCAAATATTCCTAGTACTTTTATTTAAAACATCTTGCAATTTTAGACTACCATTCTCTTTATACATCCAGTTTCTCACATATGCAACTGTGGTAGTATGGACTACCTGATATATATATCATGGTAATTTTCACAAGCTTATTTTGCCTTTTGCAAAACTGGCTTTTAATCAGTGAATACATGTTTCTCTGATGGCACCTGTGGTAGTTCAGGTTGTGTGTGTCAGCATGGCTGGGCCTTTGTTCTGAGTGGCTTGGCAACTGGATATAGTTGTTTCCCATGATGAGATTGTAATCACCTTCATGGTGGAATCTGCTGAGTGACCTCAATCAGTAGAAAGGGAGCTGCCTTTGGGGTGTGGCCTCCTTCTAGTATGTAAGGAGAGGCTTTGAGAAAAGTCTAGCTTTTTGGCACGCCTGGATCCTGCATTTGGCTGAGTCTTTATCTCAGTGGCCTGCCAATATTGGGATTGTTCCTGGACTTGAATTAGTGCCCTGCTGTTGTTTCTTGATCTTGCAATTGTACCATTCCACCTGCTAACCTTGGATTCAACAGTCTCAGCAGCCAGCAGCTGCATGAGTTATGAGAACCCTCCAGGCTCCAATGGGCCTAGAATAAGAGGCAGAGCTAAAGCCCAAGGTCAAGGGGCCTTCACCCAGCCCCTAAAGCCAGCATTCTGAATTTGGACTTCTAACCTCCTACGCTGTTAGAGAATCAATTCCTGTTTGTTAAAGCCATCTACTTGTGATATTTCTGTTATAGTAGCACTGCAGAACCAATATAACACCACAACATAGAAAACAACTATATGAAACATGCACACTAGAAATGAATCTGCCTTCAGCTTCCTCTGATCATTCCCTCGTTTCCAGCAACATTAACGTATCATAGGTACTGTGTGGACTGGACATTTGAAAATCACCTTTTTACCTACTTCCTGCTCTCATCCTCAGAGTTGCCTTCCTGGTTCCCCAGACTGGATTAAATCCTCTGGCTACACATTTCCATGGAACCTTTCCATGGTAATTGTTTCTCACAATTGGAGTTATGTACTTGACGAGTGTAATATGTGCATTGTTTCTATTTCACTAGGCTAAAGACTTCATGGAGGGCAGAAATAGTATATAAAGCATCTTTATTTCTTTATACCAGCTCAGTATACCTGGCACATGGTAAGTAGTCAGTCAATATTTGAAAGAATGCCTGTAGAAATGGAAGGAATAGTTTATATAAAGTACCTTGTACAATATCTGGTACATAGCAAATAATAGTAACAGTAACTATTACATTTATTAAAAGCATTTACCATTGATAAACTAACATGATTTTGTGGTGCTTAAATATTTTATTTTTATTTTAAGGTGAAAATTGACTTACAAGTAATCATGCCTCACAGCTACCCCTATGAAGCACTGCAGCTGTTTGGACGGTCATCTGAGCTCAACAGGCAACAGCAGCTACTTCTCAACAAAACTCTTACTTCTTACATAGCGACTTTTGATCCAGGTGAGATCTGTGTGTGTGCAGCAATCCAGTGGATACAGGACAATAGTGCCTCCTACGTCTTGAACAAAAAGCTCATCGATGAACCATCTGCACAAGCAGAGCCAGTCAAGAACACATTCCACCGAATGTGGATCTACAGTCACCATATATATCAGCAGGACCTAAGGAAAAAGATTCTGGATGTTGGAAAAAGGTTAGATGTGACTGGGTTCTGCATGACAGGAAAGCCTGGTATAATTTGTGTAGAGGGCTTCAAAGAGCACTGTGAGGAATTCTGGCACACAATTAGATATCCCAACTGGAAACACATTTCCTGTAAGCATGTTGAAAGTATTGAAACTGAAGGAAACGGGGAAGATCTACGGCTTTTCCAGTCTTTTGAAGAATTACTCCTTGAAGCCCATGGTGACTATGGATTAAGGAATGACTATCACATGAATCTGGGCCAGTTCTTAGAATTTCTCAAAAAGCATAAAAGTGAGCATGTTTTTCAGATATTATTTGGTATTGAAAGCAAACATTCAGAATCCTAGGAGGCTCCTAAGAAGCTTATGCTTGTAATTTCACTAAGTCATTGTTTCTATTAATAAGACCAAAATAAAAGGGCAGGTGGCAGTTTCGCATTCTCTGTTAAGAAACCTAGCACCATAATTTTCAACATGCAATTGTGATATTACCTCTACATTCTTTTGTTAAATAAATACTATTTTTGGGGAATTAATAAAAACTGTCAGTTTAACCAGTTGCAAAAAGGGCATGGAGGCTGCATCTCCTGACCTCCTGTAACCCCACAAGAGGAAGACAGGATCACCATCAATAGCCCAAGGCCTATTCCTGCAAGGCCAGACATGCTGCCTCCCTCCAGCCCTTTTACCAACTGTTCCTCCCAAAGCACCCACCACCTCTCTCCTGGATTCAATAATTGCCTGCAGTGGCCACACAGAACTCACAGATTACGGGCTTTATTAGGGAAGCACCAGGCTAATAATAATTCAAGTTCAGGAAGAATGCTCAGTCTCTCCCAGACCACAGTCTCTCTCCCAACAGTGAGTGTCCCTCAGTACCTCAGCAATGTATTTCTCTTTCAGCAGCACATCTTCCTCAACCAACAGTCAGAGAGAGACTTCTGCTTCTAGGAGGCCTCCTTTTGAGCCTGGCAAAGTGGCCAAACTAACCAATCATAACATCAGAATTCTAAGCACCTGAGAGCAGGAACCTCCCAGAACATTGCTTTGTGTTATGCTCAACAGAAATACCCCAGGTGGA